CTCTCTCTCTCTCTCTCTCTCTCTGGATCAAGGAAGTCGGGAGGTGGAAAGTCTGGCCAGTTGTAGAGGTCGACACATGTTTAGGGTTTGGTCAGCTTGCGAACAGGGGTTGTCGTCGAATAATGAAATAAATTTTCCTTAAATTTTCAATAATGATTATATTGAAAGTGAATCTTAATCGGAGGGGACTCTCTAAACCCCATTGCAAATATAAATTTTTTAAAGTGATCTCAACATAACACCAATGATAGTTGTGTCGAAAGTGAATTTTAACTGGAGAGGATTATATCTTTTTAAACACATCCAAACCCTGACGAAATATAGATATGTTTAAAATAGTTTTGAAGTCATCCTAATGAAGTCTGTGTTAACCAAAAAAACTCAACCAAATAGAACTACTTATTTCTCAAAAATGCCCCAAATTTCAAAATTAACTTCTCAGAAGATTAAATTTTAAAAAATATTTTAATGTTATTACTTTCCAAAATTACGAAAATTATAAATGAAATTAATCATCTAATAAAACATAAATGTAAAATCTACCGAACATTCTTAACCGTTTACCGAGAGTGAAAATTTTGAGAATAACCTCAACTTGCAAAAAGTAAAAGCCTAGTCGAGCATATTATTAAGATTTTTTATCAAACAATCTCTTGTCAATAATGACATAGTTTTCCTCTAACAGACAATTTGGCCATCAAATGACTCCACAGATAAATGATTATGAACGAGGCTTTTTGACCGGGTCATTTTGCCACAAAACGATACCACTAAACTATGGTCATGATAGCTCAAAACCCTTAAGTAATGAATCACAACATACACTTGATAAGGTACAAAGCTCTCTATTGGCTATGATTGGCTCAAATGTGTCCCCTTAGACAAACATTCATGCTAAGTTAGAAGTAAAACTTGACAAAGCAACTCATTACTGCTAACAAAGATTCTTCAGTCAGGTTGAATTGACTACCTCCTCTAACAAAGTAGACTAAGGATAATGACTGATGGGATGATAGATCCATAGGATTTTAATCAGGATCATCACCCATCACCCGCTTTAAGTATGCAGTGCTAAATTTTAAATTCTTAAAAAACTTGAAGTCCAAATTCAAATCCTTAAATTGTTGATTTTATATGTTAGGTACTTAATGCATATCTAACGACTAACTTTAATCAAAAGTTCTCTCTTGTTATTTGGAGAGGTAATTATTAATCATAGATCCTCGTGATTATAGTAAACTAGACCTTAGATTATAAAATCCTTGTAAAATGAGAGTAAAATCTCTAGGTAGTGTCTTATCTTAAATCTAATATGTCATCTAAAAATTTACCTGGGTATTCAATCCATTAAAAATCTCCACGTCATAAAAAAGACGTGGAAAGGTTAGTGTACAAATGTTTTAAGCCCACATATTTGTTAGAATTTGACCATATATTTTTCACCACAAATTTAAAAACTCTATGAAATATCTTTTGTACCATACAAAATTCTAAGGAAATAAAGTTCGCACTTATTTGATTGATTTGCCTTGAGAATTTAAGTTTCATAACATGTACCCTTTGAAGATTTAATAGCATATAGAGGCACTGACAAGCCATTTGTGCATACTAGTAGTGTCTCTGCAAGTAGAACTATAAAAGCTTTTAGAGTACACAAATACTTGGTTTGTTGAAAAAATCAATCTCCTACTAAAAAGCCTTTATAACACACATAAAGAACTGATGAAGACAAAGATAGATATGTTTGAAGCATAACATAGTTCTGATTCCTCGGAGGCTAAGTTCTTTTAGCCATACAAAAATTAATTAACAAGGATCAAAACTCAAACTCATGACTAGACCCAACCATAGATTATGCTTAACTCAAACTAGTTTGTCAATTTAAATTGTATTTATTTGAGAAAAGATCCAAAATGATCCCTCAACTTTTTATGAGGGACCAAAATGATCCCCAACTCTTTTGAGAGACCAATTTGATCTCTCAACTCTTTAAAATAGTACCTATTTGTTATTATCGTTAACTTTATCAGTAAATTTGGGTCTATCAAACACATAGTGAGAGTATAATCAGGAAAAAAAATTATAGAATCTTTTCATTATACACAGAAGTGAATTGTTCGAACTTTCCAGTAGCATCGAAACCCCATCCACACAGGACTCCCACGTCTTGCAGTGTAGTGCGCGTGAACAGCAATTTGAACCCAGCGTCCCACAACGCATGTTGAACATAGTTTGACCCTAGCGTCCCACGCACTCATCGAATACCACTCTCGCAACCCTAGCAAGCGTCCGAAACCAAACGGGATTTAAGCATCCCGTAAATCTCACAGTGGAATAAATCCTTTGTTTCCCTCTTTTTGCGGTAAATTCCGAATTTACTAAATCCTGTGGCTTGACGGATTTACGAGATTTAGTCAAAGAAGTGCACGAAAGGGATAAAGATGGATACCTTCGTAGAAGGTCCCGTCGTGTCTTCTGATCCAACATCGTTTACTAATACGCCGATAAAAATATAAATCTTTATTTTCATCTAGGGTGCTAAGGTCAATATAGTCAATCTTATTTTCACAATCTTCATTAAAAAGTTTAGCAAAATATCTCATCCATCTTTGTTGAATATCATCTTCTAAGAAAAGTATTTTTTGATCTTCATCTTTAATACACTTCACTTGAACTAAATCCTTGCTACTCCTATCTCTTTGTTTGGCTAACTTATACATATATCTTAGAAATTTTGAAATTAAAGAAAAGTTTAATAATTTTTTTTGAAATTAAAATTTTTTTTAGAAATTTTGGATTATTAAATATTTTAATTAAGAATGACCAAATTACCATCATACTTACACCATTAAATTTACCATTAGATGGCAGGACCAAATAGTCTCATTTCGAGGAGCTAAGGGATCAAATTGGCCTCTCAAAAGAGTTGGGTTGGTCCCTCACAAAGAGTTGAGGGATCATTTTCTTTTATTTATTTTATTAGTCATATATATATATTTTTAAATTAGATAAAAATTATCCTCTTAGATAAATGTATTTTTAATTTTGAATTTGATGATGGAATTTGACTTGAATTTGGATTAAATGATACAATTATTTTTTAAATTTAAACAGAAAACTTATTTCTATAAATAGAGTTATAAAGATGTCATTTGTATGATCTTTAAATTAAAATTTAAAATGATTCCATAATTTATTGTTTTCTTTCATTACCATTGGTTCCTTTCTCTATCGAGAAATAAGACTCATGATCCGTTTCTCTCACCTCAACCATCGCTCACTCCGCTCTCAAAAGGCCTACATGCCAAGGTATTTTAGTTCCTCTCTTGCCAAGCCGCAACATCTCTTAGTCAAAAAAAAGCCAAAATAATAAGAGAACTTCTATATTTCTTCAAACAATCAATCCCCCATCTTCCTCTTTTACTTATTCTCCCACGTTGAAAAGGAGAAATCAAGTCAATCAAGAGAATAAGGGCAATATCAAGAATGAAATCTTTATCTACAAGATCTCCACCACGTCACCTTAGACAGCTATGATTATTTGAGAAATTCAAATCATCTGTGCTTTGGTAGCAACATTGCAAAATCCAAAGAGCGCCTCAAGCAAGCAGCTTTCTAATCCTTAGTTTGTCAAGAAAAATAAGAATTCTGGTCCCAAGTCCAATTTTGGCCCCAAATCCGAATGAGAAAAATTGAGAGTTGACGCTAGATCAATAATAAATCATAAAACCAATATAAAAATTCATGGAAATGAATCCAATCTAAGTCACCTTATGCAGCATTAAATGGGAGCAAATAAGAATTATGATTCATAAAGCTACAAACAGTTGGAATAAGGATGATGATTCAAGACATAGTCCACCTCAGGTATAATTAAGCCCAACCCTTTGCAAAGGTAAATAATGTAAGCAAATTGAATTTTTAAAACAAATTACCTGCCAAGGCATATTAAAAGGCAGACCCAAAAGATTGCACGGATCCAAGTTGACTCCTTGTGGAAAACCCATACCTATAAGGTGGAGCAATATACTTAGCATTCAAATAACAAAAGGTCAATATGAATCCATGTAATGCATGCTCACAATTTTATGAAGTTATAAGTTACTACAGGACACTTTGGTTCAGTTATTTATAAATGTCTATTGTAGATTATTTTCAGTACCATCTTATTAATTTTGATATTTCTTTAAAAATACAAGCTTGTGAGTACAGGAGAAGTTAAAAGCATAGGAAAACTGGCAAAGAGGCAACTTAATCTCACTTGTCCAAGAGATGTTATCAATTATACAGATCATTCAAATATTTAAGAAAAGATGCAACAAAAAGAAATATTGCTTGAATCATATTCCTGTCTAAAAAAGCAGCGGGTGTTTTCAAAATCATTTGGGAATGGAAGATTGAATCTTCAAATGAAGCTTTTTGACATTTAAGGGAATTTCAAACTCAAAAACAATTTTGGAAATTGAAAGAGATTGCCCATAAATAAAAATTCCATCATAAACTACCCCCGCCCTTCCTTCCCCTTATAATCCTCCAATCCATATTAACTTTTTTTTGTTTCCTTAACAGCTGTATTCTTTCCAACATGATTAATCAAATTGAGTCGCTGAAAAGTGTTGAAGATGTAAAAAATAATAATAAATAAAAAATGAGTTATTAACCAAGTTCTCAAGCAGTAACAAATGTGTTACGTTCTCAGAAAGGGATCTCACCCAATTTCAAATAATCAAACATTCAAAGAATCAAGGAAACCAGAATCACAGATCCAGAAGATAAAGACCTTAGAAATTAGATTAATCAACAAAAGGCTTCCTGTGTCTGATAAAAGACCAAAGATGAAGATGCAACAACAACAACAACAACAACATCAAGCCTTTATCCCACTACGTGGGGTCGGCTACATAAATCCTTTTTCTCCATTGTGTCCTATTAAAAGCCAAATTCTCGTTTAAATCTAATAAAGAAAGGTCATTTCTAATATTTTCTAACCAAGTCTTTTTAGGTCTACCCCTACCTTTCTTAACACAAGTCAAATCTAATACCTCTACTCTCCTAACTGGGTCGTCGGAAGGCCGCCTTTTTATGTGACCAAACCATCTTAAGGTGACTCTCTCTAATCTTATCTTCTACTGGAGCTACTCCAACCTTTTCACGTATATGCTCATTTCGTATCCTATCTCTAAGGGTAAAGCCACTCATCCATCTAAGCATCCTCATCTCTGCCACACTTAACTTAGTATTATGCTTCTCTTTTAATGGCCAACATTCGACACCATAAAGCATTGCAGGCCTAACTACCATCTTATAGAATTTTCCCTTAAGTTTGAGGGGTACATTTCTATCACATAACAAGCCCGATGCATTCCGCCACTTCAACCATCCAACTTGAATTCTGCTGATAATATCCCCATCTATTTCACCATCACTCTGAACAACAGATCCAAGATATCTAAAAAGTGTACTCTTATTAATGACTTGATCGCCCAAAGTCACAATCCCCTCACTAGGACTATTACTGCTAAAATTACACTCCATATATTCCGTTTTAGATCTACTCAAGCGAAAACCTTTAGACTCTAAGGTTGACCTCCATAATTCAAGTTTACCTTCAACTCCCTCTCTAGTCTTATCAACAAGAAGAATATCATCAGCAAAAAGCATACACCAAGGTACATCATCTTGCAAATGTCTAGTGAGAACATCCAAGACTAAAGCAAAAAGATATGGGCTTAAGGCTGATCCTTGATGTAACCCAACCGAAATAGGGAAATACTTGGTCAAACCACCTTGTGTTTGAACACAAGTAATAGCTCCTGCATACATATCTTTAATGATTTGAATATAAGCATTATTAACTCCTTTCTTTTCAAGAACTCTCCATAGCACTTCTCTTGGAACTTTATCATATGCTTTTTATAAATCAATAAATATTTCCCGCCCTAAACGCTACTTGAGCGCCTCGGGGGTTTGCCGGCTCGTTGCAAGCTTTGAAGAGGGATCCTTAAATCATCGCGAGCATCGCACCGGTTTCCCACCCTAAACGCTACGTGAGCGCCTCGGGGGTTTGCCGGCTCGTTGCAAGCGTCGAGAAAAGAATCATTTTTTTTAATTTGTTATAATTAACTACAAATATATTACAATTAATTATAATTATCTTATAATAAATAATTATAATTAAAATTAATTAAATATGATTGGAATAATTAGTTATAATTAACAAGAATTAATTATAGTTAATTAATAATCAAAATAATTAACTATAATTAATATAAACTAATTATAAAAAATCATAATTAATTTCTAATTAATTATAATTATTTTATAAGTTAATTATAATTAAAAATAATTAATAATAAAAATATCATAATAATAAAAGGAAATAAATATATATATATATATAACAAATATTCCTATACCTAAAGGGGGTCGGGTAGAGGAGAGTGAGTTGAGTTGAGTTGAGTGGCTGAGTTGGATTGGGTAGGATTTTAGTGGGCTAAGTGGAGTGAGTTGAGTGAGTCAGAGTGAGTTGAGTGAGTGAGCTTGGGGATTAAAGGGGGTTATTTGGTTTGGTTATGAGAAAGTATCAGCTGAGAGGTGGATCGGGCAGAGGGGGCTTTCGGATTTAGGAGAGAAGATCGAATGGAGGAGCTCGGCCAAATGGGATCGGGCGGCTACAAGTAGGCATGATGGATCTCTCTCTCGGGTTGGAGTCGGCACAGGCAAAGGGGGCGGCGGCTTCCTGGGTTGGATCGGACAAAGACAGAGGAGATCGGGGCTTCGGCTGAGTGGGGATCGGCGTCGGACAGGGAGGTCAGAGGGCTGTAGCTTGGAGTCGGGAGGAGATCGACGGGAGCAGGGCTTTTCGTATGGAGTTGAGAAGAGGTCGTGGCTTGGAGCGGAAGAGGAAGAGGAGTTCAGACGTGGGATGGGGAAGAGCAGCGGTATCGGGAGTGAGCGAGCGCGGAAGAGCAGCAGCCGAAGGTCTCATTTGCTTCGGTATTAAACGACGTTCACGGGAGCGCGATCGAGGCGAGCAATTCCCGGAACAGCGCCGAATCTACAGTGCCTCGGCGGGATTTCTTGTGAATTTTGCGGGTTCGACAGTCCGAGGTGCGGGATTTCTGGGATTTGCGGCAGAGATAGGTATGCATTTTTTTTATTTCATTTTTTTGCTATCTGAATAGAGGTCAACAGTTGATCCTTCATCTGAACTCGGTACAGCTCGTTCTTGAGTTGCATTACACGGGATCGACTGGTAGGTTGAAGTCGGCGTTCAAGAACCGCCCAAGCCTCGCTTGCTGTGGTGGTCGTGATGATGTAAGGCAGAATTGGTTGAGAGACCGTTGAGAAGAGCGCCGAAAGGAGATTGTTGTCGATGAGGCGCCATTGGGCGTGCTCGACAGAGGTTGGATTGGTGGGAGGTTTAGCAGTTCCGATGAGGTGGCCGGCATAGCCATTTGCCGTGAATTGTTGAAGGAGTTGCACTCGCCATATAGGGTAGTTCTCGGTAGTCAGGGTATGCGGTGCTAGATTTTTGATGTTTGAAACCAGAAATTTGAGTGGTTGAGGTATGTGGTTGTTTGTGTTGGTTGTTTGGACGGAGGGGGAGGGGGAGGAGGGTGGAGGAATGTTCATTGATTCTTGATCTCCCATTGGAGCTCTGATACCATGAGAGCATAAGCAGGAGAAAGAACCAAGAACAAGAACCGGAGAAGAGAGCAGTTACAGGAAGAAGGAGAAAGGAAAAGTAGAAATCTTATTATTTAGAAATGAATACAATGCCAGAGTTTATAAAGGAAAATAATGGTATAAGCCGTAAATACAATCACGTAAATACTAATATGTATAGTATTCTAATATGTACAAGGTTTGACCTATTTGAATATTTCTTTCTTGCTCGGTCCACAATCTTATACTGTTTCCAGTTGCAGCCAGCCTTTTATTCACATTACATGAAGTATGCAGCTGATGAGTTTTGGAATTTCAGACCTAAAGATAAAACAATATTGTCATCTATCCATATTGTATAAATGGAATTCACGATTAAATATTCATAGAAAGGATAGGTATTTGACAATAACATGTTCATGTTCTTTTTGCTACATCATTAGAGAGATGATTTTGTTTATTAACCATCAAAAAATTAATTAGTAGGGTCCCCGGAAAACAATAATAGAGAAATTAGAGTGACACATCTTTGAAGCTGAGAGTTGAGAAAAAACAAGATCTAGTTGAAATTGCAACAGGCCACACAAGCAAACAACATAAGATAGCGCTGTGCTAATGATATTGACATCCTCTCAAGTAAAGTGCAATAGTTCCAGGAGTTATGAATTACTTAATAAACTTCATGCCATCTTCAAATCCTCAATTTTGTTATACAAAAAAAAATGAATGACTTGCAGCATAAGTTAAAGGATCCTAGAAACCATGATAAACACACCAATCAAAGGCCACCATGGGAAATGATGAAAAAATAGCAGCTGGCATTTAAATCTTATGAAACAATCTTACAATACCCTTATTTTAATGATAAAAACTTCCTATTTGACTGAGAAACTTCTCTGAATGCTTCCCTCCATTATTGCAACTATTTTAGGGTTCTAATAATCAGCAAAATCATAAATAATATCTACCTAATAATGAGATATTTCAAGGCTTACCGATATGGCAAAAACATTTATGTAAAAATCGATTAAGGTTGCAGCCATCCACCTGAACACAAAAGAATAGATAACATTGCTTAGCGCCTTTTTATATGGATTTCATTCGAGCATACAGTCCAAATTTAGTATGAAAAACATATTAAAGATAGACTTAATTCAAATCTTCACAAGGAAACATACGTTTATGCAGGCATTAGATGAACTAGTAGAACAAAAACACGCATTAAAGAAACCAAAAGCGAGGTATCACTCAAGCCATAAACTTCTAGTAGTATTTATCCCACAGATGAGATATTTGTCTAGACAAATGGAAAGTTAATTTTGGTACATTAACACTATTGCTAACACTATTGTTAGTGGTAACAGATTCTTTCAGCGGATAAGAGGGCAGCTAGAATTGATTTAAAATGGCTTGCAAGGAAAATGATTACGCCAAAGCTGACAAGTTAGAAATATAAGTTGAACACAGCTCTCCTTGATCTGTTGGTTGGGAGCTTAGAGTACGAATTAAGAGGTACCTAAGAAAGATACACGAAACTGAGGATGAAACTAGAAACAAGGTTGCGCGCTTGAGATTATATGTTAAATATCTAGGCATCAATATGAAATGCATCAACAGAGAGTCGAGCAATGTTAACAACATGAGACATCCACATCATAAAGATGTGCAAAATATGCCTTAGCGTCTGAGCATGTTGAGTTTAAACCTCTTATCGCACATTCCATTAGCCGTAGTTTATCTAATACCATTTACACAAGATTCGCTATTTCTATGCTTGGCATCATGAATATGAACACTAATTGCAAAGTGCAGCATAGAAAATAGTCAAACACAATGTTGATAATTGAAATTTAGAATCAATCTAACTAAGGCTTCATTCGAGATAATTTTTTTGTTGCTTTCTAAAACAGTTTTCTAGTACAAAATTTTCTTGAATTAAAAAAATTTATACTAAAAAGTCGTTTTATAAAGAAATACAAAAGCTGTCCCAAACGAAACCTAAATATAAAAAAGAGGAAATTATATGCTTACGGTGTCAACAATTCCATGCGGAAAGGCCAACCATCAGTAACTAGCGTATAGACCACTATTGCTGACATTATAATGCCCAAGGCACTAAACACAATTCTTCCGAGGACAACGGATGAGCAATTCACTTTGCTTTCGCCATCTTTCCTGGATTCAAAATTGTAATGTAGGAAATAAAATGCCGAGTATCGTTAAGTGTGTATTAAAATAAAATGAAAATAATACATACTGGTAAATTTAGGGAACCAGCAAACTTCCCTATTTCTTCCAGTTACAATGTAGTTATAATGTGTAACAGCGATAACATAGTTGTTGATGAAAAATGATAAGCATGTGCTAAAGCAGCCTCTGAGATACTTTAGGAAAATAAAGAAATCACAATTGCTTTTTAAAGATGCAGAGAAGAAACTCTCTTGTTTGGCATTGAAAGCATGTTTTTTCCATCAACCTCCTTTTTATTGGAAAGCTGGGAAAAAACCCTTCTCTTTTAAACAAAAAGAAAGGCAAAAATTAAGATAAATTACAGAAAAAGTAATGAAACTCAAGAATACAAAAGGAGCTAAATAAATATACAATCTAAACAGTGATCGACTGAACATTTGAAAATCGATAGGCATCATAAGAAATACCTTCCATTTGAATTGAAAATCCAGAAGTGGGCATAAGAGATAATGTTGAAGCAAAGCAACTTTTCATCTTTAACGGAATTAGAGAAACATCTTCCACTTCTAACAATCCAGATAATCCAAAAATGAAAAAGAGACAAAAATGTTCCAAAATCCCTAAAGTGGCTTTTAATATAAAATTTTAATACTTCCTAAGGCCTTACAAATACCAAATAGCTTATGAAACCTCCAAATCTTACTAATTGTTCAACAATTAAGGAAATGGAAATCATCTTCAAGATAGGCATTGCACACATAACAAATAATGAAACAGAGATGCTCAGATTGTGAAAAGGAGTTTTGCTAAATAATTTCCACCAAGATAAAATCCATACAACAATAGATATTTATAAAGAGACAACAGGATTCCATCCAGCTAAGAATAATCTGTCTCATCGGACAAAGGAATGGAATGGGTAAAAATATTTAACAGAAAAAAAAAAGGAAAATAGACAAGATCAGTCATCCTGGAGTATCATTGGCAAAATTATGTGTTTCCAATGAACAAATAAATCAAAGACACCAAAATATGGGAGCAAACTAAAGAACAGTAAGAGGAACCGCCCCTTATCCATTTATCTTTCCAGAAATTAACATATTTTCCTCTGTTAACCTCCATAATAATATTAATGGAAAAAAGAAACTTTCAAGAGAACAGAACATTTGGAATTCTTACTAAGCTAAAATATTGGATGTTGGGTTATTTTTTAAACATTTATCTCTAATAATTTTTCCAACAAAAGAAGGGCAATCAGAAATACGTGATTTGCAAGTCCATTTATTAAGCAAAAGAATAATCTGATACCTATGTTCTTCCTATTTAGGATCATTTTAGACAATTTCTTCCATGCAATGATGTGAGGTTAATAAACTCTCGAGTTCTCCTTTAATGAAATGGTTTGATTTTCATCACTCATGATGATTGGCTCTCTTGACTAGAAATCAAAACTCTAAGACATGGAGAAGGAAGCAAAAAAAGCAATGAAAGGTTTAGGCTGAAAACAAATTTGAATTTGGGACTAACATACCATAGAAAATATAGGAGAACAGCTAAAAGGTTGATTTATTTATCATGCATACAAGGGAAAATTATACCTAGTGCTGATTAGACTACAATAAGAATCTATACAATTCTAGGAAAAGTTATAAGTACGATATTTTGAAGCTTTAGAAAACATTCCAGAAGAACTTCCCAAGTTCCATGCTACCAGCAACCGCTAGCTTTCATTTCTTTGTTGGAATTCTTGGGATGGCATTGAATCCATGGGATGGTGTAGTTATTTTTCTTTTTCTAGGCATCTTTCTCTTTGAGAATACATAAGCATTAATTCTTAATTTCTCTATTATATTTTCCGCCAGCTATTAGTGTTTTATTGGTGTTGAATTTGCTATCATTTCCTTAATCCTCTTATTGTCGCCCACATTTTCTATTAGCAACAGCTCTACCAGCATTCTTCAACAATTTTGACACCTATGAAATCTAAGAGTCCTGTGTTAAAAAAAAGTCAAGAGCTCCTAATGTACAAGAAAAATTTTGTATATATTGAGCCAACAAAATTTTGAAATGAGATTAAACCTAAGAGAATAATCTATGACATGATAGTTGTTGAATTGAAAAAAGATGTGAATAAGAGTATCTCTTTGAGGATATTAATTAATTACTATCGTACTTTAAAGAACTGTCTTGATGAGCTTCCTAATGAATTACCACCACCTAGGAATATACAACATGGTTATGATTTAAATAATGGTTCATCCTTACCTAATTTATTGCATTATAAGTGAATAATACTAAACATGTTGAACATAAAAGATAAAAAATGCATTGCTTCATCAAGAATTTATTAAGGAGGGAATGAGCCCCATGTGTTGTGCCCACCACCTTATTTGCACATAAAAAGACAAATTTGGAGAATATGTGTGAATAGTTGATGATGAGGACATCAGAGATCTACGGCTACAATCGTGCCTATTTATTTTTATCTATTTTATGTATTTGATTTGTTATTGTTCTTTTTCCCTTTATACCCTCACTTGAGGGCTTTGTCTTATGTATGCCCTAGGGGCAATAGTGTCTTTGTTATTTTCCTTCATGTATTTGGCTATTTAAAGCCTCCCTCTTCTCCTTAGAGGGTTAATGAATGAATGATAAAAAAAAAAATTCCTGCACGTGTTCTTTGAGTTGTCAGAGTTCTAGGAGAGAGCTTTGGAGAGATCCCTAAGGAGGGAAAATGTATCACCCACCAACCTTGGAGACAGCCTGATTCGTGGTTTGTTTTGTCGTTCTTTTCTTTCAATCTTTTTTCTCCTAGTCGCCGAATTTCCTAGTCACCCCTCCTTGGCGGCGACCACATCTCCCACCACCACTACCTCAAGACACCACCCTTCTTCCCCCACTACGACCACCGACCCGCTTACCCAAAGCCCCCCCCCCCCCCCCCCCCCTCCCCCCCACCACATTTGTAATTAACTATAAATACTAGTGGACCGCCCCCCCCCCCCCCCCCTTTCCCCTTGGATTTTTCTCTCCATCCTTGCTTACATCGATTCCTTTCCTAATTGGGTTGATCAATTTAGGTACTTCATTAACTTATCAAATTTATTTGAATTTGAAATGTTACCTAAAATATCACTCCTATTTTAGGAAACTTTCCAAATCCATGCCTATTGAATTAAAGCTAAATTGGGATGAAATATTTCATCCTAAATTTAAGTCCATGAATTAAGGAAGCATTAAAAGCTTCCTTAATTCTCTCCCTACCCCATTAAGCCGCCGGCCCCCCTTTGATTTAAATTTGGATTTGTTTCCTAAAGCTCCACTTTCCTTGTCTAACTCCAACTATCTTTGGAAGGAGTTTGAATTTTGAAATAACTCAAATTTAAATCTCACATCCTTCCTATTTCATTAATCCTATTTTTGGAAAATCCCTTAAATAATTCAATTAATCCAAATCTGAATTAATTGAGTAATTAATGTCTTATCTCCAAATACATTGAAACTATATTTTTTTTTCTTCTCTCACCTGGCCGAAATTCCTTTAGCCCCACCTATTTACTTTCCTTCCAAAAGAAGGCTTCTTCCTTTGGAATTTCTTTCAAACCTCCTTCCAAGCTCTCATTCACACCTCCCTGTTCTTCCCGGGAAACTCCTGTTTGTTGCCCACGTTCCAGCAAAAGTGTTTTCTTTGCTGTCTTACACGTTTGGAGATTATAGCTTGCTGTCCAGAAGACTCCCAACACCCTACAGCTGCTGTCCAGAAATAATTCCAGGATTTTGGCCAAGATCTAGTTGCTGTCCTGAATTTCAGACTCAGGAGAACTGCTGTCCAGCAGCCTAAAAGGCCATAATCTGCTGTCTGAAGCCTCCGGTAGCATAGAAGAGCAGTCCAAGGCTTGTAAAACCTAGTAGGGTGCTATCTAGAATCTGTCTCCAGCTTCTAACCTGCTATCCAAAGACTCCAACAAGAATTTGACGCAGCACAACCGCCCCAGAATCCACTAGTTGTTGTCTACTTCCTCTCAAGCACAAAAACCCCACACCGGAGCTTCATTTGTCTTGTTTACTTGGTGTGGGCTCCGAAAATTCAGCCCCGGCCTCCACCCGCTTTTCTTTTATTCGGCGAGGAAGTTTTAACTGAATAAGTTCCGAGGTAAATTTTGGAAGGCAGATGGGTTTGTAGATAAGACACTACCCAGAGATTTCGCCCTCATTTTGCGAGGACTTTATGATCTGAGTTCTGGTTTCCTATAGGCGCAAGCCCCTATAGTTAATTACCCCTCCCAATCATGAGAGAGAACTTTCGATTAAGGCTAGTCGTCAATCAGATACGTATAGAATACGTGATATCTGGCATATAGTAGCAGCACTGGGTTAGGAATTTTGGAAATTTGAAGATTTGGATGTTTGGGAATTTGAAGGTTTTGGATGGAGTTGATATTTAAAATAGAAATTTTCACCATCTTGCACTTAAAGCGGATGGTGGGGGAATGGATGATAGACCCGATCAAGATCCCATGGTTCCGTCGTCCCGGGCCATCGTGGTCCCTGGTCTACTTAGTCAGAGGAGGTAGTCGACCCAACCTAACAGAAGGATCCTTATCGGCAGCCATGGGTTGCTTCGTCCAAGGGGACCTTGTAGACCGGGGTTGAATGTTTGTCTAAGGGGACAAATTTAAATCCACCTTAGCTAACAAAGGGCTTTGTGCCCTATCGATTATATCCTATTGATTCATATCTCAAGAATTTGATGCCAATAAGGAACGTAACGGCGCTGGCCATAACCATTATCTGTGGTGCCATTTGGCAGCAAAACCACTCGGTTAAGAGGCGCCGGGTCATAACCGTTTATCCTGCGGTGCCATTTGGCAGCAAAACTGCCGGTTAGAGGACACGTACCACGCCCTTATTGGCAGGAGATTGTTTGAGAATGGATCATAGTGATATTTTCAACCAAGCATTTGCTCTTTGTGAGCTGAAGTAAT